CTGTCTGGCTATCTCTAAGTGCAGCCAGAGGCTCGGAGCGAGGGCTCTCGAGCTGAGAGCTTGCCAGAAAGAGAGCTTAGAGTACAGTGTCAACGCAGCCAGAGCGAGAAGTGCAAATGAGTTGGTTCAGTGATGCAGTCACTAAGGGAACTCCATCTGGGAAGTGGCCCACACGGAGGCCCACTGGCATGGTGGCAGCATCCTCGGGAGACTGCGGTCAGCCTGGCCGGGCTCAGTTCCGGTTCCCCCACGTCCTGCCAGTGCGATCTGGGCCGAGTTGTCTAACCTGTTTGTTCCGCAGTTTCTCATGTGTAATGTTTGTGCCTCCTTTCCTGGGTGATGGGAAGGTGATGTAGGTGACCCAAGATGGGCACACCCAATGAACATCAGCCATTATAATAACCTGACTGGATCTTGGGAGGGCAGAAAGGGGCCCTCGTCCCCAGGTGCGGCCCCATCCCAATTCTTTATAGCAACAGGCTGTATCTCTCTGCACACTGTCTCCTCCTGCCTTTCTCGGTTCCTCCACGTGGCCTGGGACTTTGATGGCATTGTAGTTTAGCAGGGAGGCTTTTTGGAGGTTCTGAACTCCTCCCTCCCTCCCTCAGTGCAGACAGGATGCATTTCTCGTCTCCCGCGGCCAGGCATAGCTCAGCAGGTGTGATCAGAGGGTGCAGACCAGGGGTTGGATGAGCCTGGGACGTGAACTAACTGCAGGGCGCTCTGGAAGGCTCTCTACGGCGTGGACGTTCCGTGCCCCGGCCCAGCGCTCTCAGGCCTGTGCCCCTCCTATCCAACCGTCACCTGGGCGTGCGGACGGCCACCTCCTCCTCGGGTCCCCTGGCCGTCTCCCATTTCAACTCATGATACAGATGCCACGCGTCCTCGCCAAGCTGCCCTAACATGAGGGAATTCTACCTCAAATATGTTGCACAAATGAATAATAAAAACAAAGGAAAATTACCCTCTTTATTGAAACTCATTTTATGAATAAAACAATTATTCTGGTAATTGAAAAAATGTGTCGTTAAATTAAATGCAGTGGTTCCTATTAAAATTTTAGTGCGTTTCTGCTGCTGCCGGCTAGAGGCTGGTAATTATAGACGAGAGTTTCGCTTTCTCTTTATTGTTTTTTAATCTCTCTGTGCTGCGGCTCCCTGACAATATTTTATGTCCAAGAGATTTAGAGCTGGGTTTCAGGCACGGGGGAGAAGCTGGCCGAGGGGTGGGGGGCAGGCGGTGGGGACGGCCGCAGCCTCTGCCTGACTCCGGGCTGCCTGTCACTCCGGCTGCCCCAAAGCCGTGGTTGGCCTCTCCGCCCGTCTGTCAGCCGGGGGCAGCCAATCACAGGCCTCCGCCTCCGCTGCCCGCCCCTCTCTGACCCCGCTCTCTGCTCTCAAGGGATGCGGGCGGCGGGAAGCCTGCCGTCGGGTCGCCGGGATGCCGGCGTCCCTGCTCTCTCTTGGAGCCCGAGTTTGGAAGGCTGCCGGGTGGGGCGGCATCCGTGTGGGGACAGTCGGGGAAGGTTGCAGAAGCCCGGTGTGTGCGCGCCCCGGGAGGGCAGGGGCCGCGCCGGCGCTGCTCACCGCCTCACCCACCGCTTCCCGCCTCCTCACCGGGGCCTTGGAGGCTTTGGACTCCCGTGGGGGGGGGGGCGGGAAGGAGCCCGCCTTGGTCCGGGGTGGGTTCGGTAGGGATAAGGCCGGAGAATGGCACAGCCAGCCTCTTGGTTTTTCCCAGCTCGGCTCTCCCCCCACGCGCGCACACGCCAGAGACGGTGGGCGGCAGAAAAGCAGAGGCGCCGGCTGCCCCCTCCCCGCTACGCCTGGCAGGGGCTGCCGGGCTCCCGGCCGACTTAGACAGTCTGTGGCTCCCCTGAGGGGTTCTGTGTCTCCGCTCGGCCTGCGCTCCTGTTCTTTGTCTGGGAGATCAAGCTCCTGGTGGGCAAGGTCTCTGGCCGTGCAACCTGCCCCCGGGAGCTTGATGAATCGGGCTTGGGTGGCAGCTTCTGGGCATTTGTCACCAAGGCGCCGGGAGCTGGTTCGGAGCCAGACGCCAGCGTCCAGCAAAGTCGGGTGAGCCCTCAGCCCTGGGCAGGAGGGAGACAGGGTGAACGCCAGGTCCTCGGCAGGCAAGCTTCGCAGCTTAAGGCTACCTTTGTGACTCGTTGTGTCCCTCCAGGCCTGTGACCTCTCAGATCCTTTCCTCACCTGGCTCTGCTCTGTCCTGCACTGCAGGTGGCCGTCTTCCTGTTTTCCCAGGCCCCCAGACAGCTGGCTTCAGGCTGGGTTTGGCCAGCGGGAGCCCCTGGCAGGAGAAAGGAGAAGGGAGAGAGAGGCCGGCGTTCCCTTTACCTTCCTGCCTCCATTGGCATCCCCGAAGCAGCCGTGCTGGGCTCATGACTCCAGTTCCTGATGGACTGATGGGTGCGTGACTCACCTGGGACCTGACAACCCCACTTTCTCCTTGGACCCCTCCGGCCTGGGGTGGTCGAGGCTGTCTCTGTCACTGGTCTCTGTCCCCTTGGGCTTCTCTGCTCTCCCATCACCTGCAACCAGCTCCCTGTAGCAAATCCCTTCTGTGCTAAAAAGAGTCATTTCTTTTTCTTTTGAGTTGGAGTCTCACTTTGTCTCTCAGACTGGAGTGCAGTAGCACAGTCCTGGCCACTGCAGCCTCAACCTGCTGGGCTCCGGGATCCTTCCGCCTCAGCCTTCCAAGTAGCCAGAACTACAGGCGCGCTACCACCCTCGGCTAATTTTTTATTTATCGTAGAGATGAGGTCTCTCCAAGTTGCCCCGGGCGAGTCTCGAACCCACGGGCTCAGACAATCCGCTTGCTTCGGCCTCCCAAAGTGCTGGGATTATAGGCTGAGCTTCATTTCTTTGATCCTGGCTGGGCTGGCGCTCTACAGGAAGAGAGAGGGGTGGCAGGGGCTTGCAGGGGGAGGGCCGGGGGAGGGTCTAAGCGCTGTGGCTGCCCCTCCACCCTCCAGACAAGAGGCTGCTGGTGTCCAGCCCATCCTAATGATCCTTTGGTGCTAATTCATCTGCACCAGGACAGTTCCTCGCTTGGCAATAATTGAGCTGTTTTCCCAGCGGGGCAAAGGGTTAGCAGGTCAGGGGTTCTTCCTGGGGATGGAGCATCCCCGGCAGAATATATTTCAGAGCCATTAACCCCAGAGCAGAGTGGCTGGAGGCCAAGAAGAGCCGGTGGCTCCCGCCTCCTCAGCCCACACCTCCCTGCCCTCCTCCATCTTCTCACCCCCCCCACGAGGCAGTAGGTTCAGAACTCCACTGAGCTTACTTCCAAGTCAGGCCAGCTCACCGGATGTGGACACAGCCCCATCACTGGAACAGGTGCAGAGGAGGAGGGAGCAGGTGGGGAGTGGGACTGGGTGAAAGCACTGGGCTCCGTCTCACAGGGGCAGCATCCGTGTCAAGTTCACCTGCCTCTCTCCAGCCCCACCGGCCCCCACTCACGGTCTCAACCTGGATTCCGGTCAACCCCCCCCCCACCTGACATGGCCGGGCCCTACCTGGCCTCCCTCTTCCGTCTCCACGGTGCAGCTGGAGAGGTCTTTCTGATGCGGAGATCTTCACCTGCTGAAATTCTTTCGTGCCTCCCAGGACCTCGGTCACCTCTGGGGCCTCACCCTGTCCCCTAATCTCTGCCCACCATCCCCCCCCACATACAGCCTGGGAGGTGCTGTGTCCTCTCTGACCTCTGGGTGGCTGCGTGTGTGCACCTCCCCCTAGACCTCACCCTCATCTCGGTTTGGCTGACTCCCACCCATCCTTCGGGGCTTGACTTAGACGCTCCCTCCTCCAGGAAGACTTCCCTGACCCCGAAGCTGGAATAATCCCTCATCCCCCACAGCCCTCCATAGCACCTTTTCCCAGCCCCCCTTCTGCTGGCTGGCAAACAACTGGAGGGCAGGGGCTGAATCTTTGTTTGCAATGCCCAACATGCCAGGCACTCAAGGAATGGTTTTTGGGCGAGTGTATGAGGGATCATTTAGCTGAAATTAGTCAAGTGCAAGTTAAAGGGCAGAACGTACCCACAGAGCCCCCCGAGCGATGAGTTTGTTGTGGGAAGCTTTCTTCAAAGTGGCTGGCAGCTGGTCTACAGTAATCAAGGAGGGCTGCTAGGAGGAGGGAGTCAGCTCTGTTCTACCCACTCCTCTCTCCTTCGCCCCCTCCCTGCTCCTTGCTCTGTCTGCCAGAGAGCCTCCTTGTGAATGAAGGCCGCTCTTGCTGGTTTTTTCCTTTGGCAGGGAGATCCTTCCTTTATCAGCCAGTGACAGGGCCAGGGTGGGAGCTGCTGGTGCTGGTGCCTGGGAGAACGACAGGAAGGCTGATGGCGTCATTTGGACGGGAGTCTTTGGCACGTCTCTTTGGGAGGCTGCGGGGTCATCACAGACTCAGAGAAGGAGAGAGCTGACAGAGTCAGCAGCTGGTGTGGATGACACGTCTTGGGACGTCTGAGCCAGTCACCGGGGCCAGAAGGAGGCTGGGCTGGGCCCTGGGAAGCCACCTTCCTGGCGGCCTCCTTGGGGCAGCAGCAGACTCAGAGGGCAGGTCCAAGGCTTCGTCATCACACAGAGGCTGAGCCTTCAGGGGGAGAGAGGGAGGCCTGACTTCCTCCCACTTGAGCTCCCTTGGCCAGGGCTCAACAACCAGGCAGGGCCCAAGGTCATGTCCGCCCCAGGGAGGAGACAGACCTTCCAGGGCCTTCTGGGAGCAGGCCACACTGCCCTGTGAGCATCGAGGCTAGGCCTTTGGGAACCCCAGCAAGCCTGGCAGAGGGAGCCCAGCACTCCCAGCTTCTGTGCCAGTTGGACTTTGGCATCGGTTTCTATGTCCCACAAATGGGATCGGGATTATTCGTTGCCCGCCGCAGGAGGAATAATTACCTTGTGCCCAGGAAGCTGCAGGGAGGGGCTTGGAGAGGAGCTGGGAAGTGGAGTTTGATGCTCATGCCAGGAGGGTCCGCCCCGGGGGATGGCGGGGAACCAGGTTTCTGGAGGCCCAGGTCACATGGCCCACCGGTGGCAGAATCCTCACCCTCCCGCTGGGAGCAGCATCGGAATTCCCCGAGCATCAGGCAGCAGAAAGGGCATGTGTCCCGGCATTGACTGCCATCAGTGACATTAGATGTGTAGCTTAACCTTTCTGTCTCAGTTCCTTCCTTCTGTAAAACGGACCACGAGTAACACTTCAACTGACCTGACTAAATGGGATCTGAAATGTAAAAAGCATCCAGCACGGTCCCTGGTTTCCTGAACTGCTCGGAACACGTTTGTGCTTTCCTGCACACTCCCTCTTCCAGAGAGAGCCTTCTGGAAGCCTTCATGGCATCTGCCCTCTCTGGGGTGGTGCAGGCGGGCCCTGCTGTGAGGTGAGGAATGGGAGGGACGCAGGACTTCTCCATTCCCCCACCTGAGTCCTTGGGTGACCTCCCTTGCTGCAAACTGCCCTGTTTTAGCCACTTTTCCTCCCATAGCCAGAGAGGGCTCATCCTCTCTCTGGACACAATGACTGGACTAGCTTCAGAGCCTTTTGCCCATCTAAGCCCGAAACCTGCAACCTGAGTCTCCAGGGGGTGGACACTGTGTGAGGCACTGACGGCGTCACTCAGCAACTGTGTCCCAAAGAGGCAACTCCGCTGATGCCAGGCCAGGTCCCCTAGGCGGGGTAGGCTGGGACCAGCCAGCCTGACTTGGGGAAGTGCACGCAGGGGAGGGAGGTGGGCACCTGGAGCTTGTGTCTGACTCGAGAACCAAGTCTGGCTTCCCCAGTGTCCCAGCAAAAATGTGGCTAGTGAGTGGATTGCCTGAGCCCGTGGGTTCGAGACCAGCTGGGCAGCTTGGCGAGACCTCATCTCTACAATAAATCAAAAAAATGAGCCAGGCGTGGTAACACGCGCCTGTAGTTCCAGCTACTTGAAAGGCTGAGGCGGAAGGATCGCCGGAGCCCAGC